ACATGGGCCAAAGAGGCACCACTCCCCTTTCTCCCAGGGAGCTCTGCAGAAGTCTATCAACACAACACCTGGTCCCAGGGTAGATGGGACAGCTTCCCCAAGGTCACACTGTGGGCCAGAGACCCAGGCAACCCCAAACTAGGACATGAACACTTGTCCGCTCCCACCATTCTGCTCCTCCCACTCCAGGCTTCTCCTGATAACCCAGGAATTATAGAATGGGGAACCCCCCCCAACCCCCTACCCTGTACCCAGCATCCCCAGTCTGTAGAGACACAGGGTCAGAGGTCAGTGGGCAGGCCCAGACCACATCTGCTATGTCCAATGCTGACTTGGACCCCAGTGCTTCCTGGGAAACAGGATGCATGTGTGCATGTATCTGCATCAATGGAGGACCCAATCCCATTTCTCTCCTCCCAGGAGTCTGAGCATACTGGGCAGACCCTTGGGCTGTAGCAGACAGAGCTGAGGAGCTAGTGTACCCCCCACTCTGTAGCATTTCCTGTGTTAAGCATCACTCTGTTAAAATCCTGAGCATATCCCATAGTCTTGGGCTATGAGCACACTATTCAGATGAGGAGACTAAGGCATGGTAATGGTGAGGGGCTGGCCTGAGTTTCCACAGGGTCATATGACTCAACATATGTGGCCTCAACCATCTGTCATCATAGCACAGCAAACCAGCTCTGGACTCTTAACAGCTGGGGTGGGGCACCTGGTCCACACCAGGCAAATTGGGTGTAACCACGGCTTCCAGTACCACACTTCACAAACTCATTTCTGAAGAAAACTAGCCTGTGGTGGCCAGCTCTTGGGCCGATTCAGGGACACTGGAAGGCCCAAAGGCAGGCCAGCAGCAGACAGGGACAAAGCCAGATAGGCACGGTTCTGCAGAGGCTCAGCAGACTCAGAGGAGACTGCATCCCCACAGCCTCAGTGAAAAGTGGTACCCAAAGACACGAGTACCTGAGCACTACAGGCAGGGGACACATAGTCCTCCACCTCCTGAGGGACCCTCGGCAGGCTGCCAAGGAGAGCCCAGCCCCACTTGGAGACCTTGGTCCCTCCCCACTTTCTGCAGCCTGAAGCCTCCACTACAGCTGTACCTTACCTTGGCCCAGCTGGATCAACTCTTCCATGCTGTACCTGTCCATAGCTGCTGGCCAGGCTAGGCTGCTCCCACAGCCAGCAGAGAGGAAGGCAAGGCAGGAAGGAGGGAAGGGGTAGGAAGTGGAGGGAGGGCTTGCTCATGCCCTGGCCTCCACACCCAGCTCTGAGAGCAGTAGCTCCTCCTCATGGCTGACTAAAGGGTCTCCACAGTCAGCCAGACCATCAGAGCCCAAGCCTGGGGACTGGCATCAATGGGTCAAAGCAGTCTAAGTAGACCAGCCTAGGGGTACAGAGAACAGGCCTGCCTTAGTCCCTAAGCTCTGGGGGTCTCAGCCCACTGGTCTTTCTCATTGACCCTGCCAGGCAAAGACTATCCCACAGCCTCTGCTTCCCTCCATAGGCCCCAGTTGAGCCCTGCCATCCCACCCACCCACCCACATTCCAACCAAGCATCCATGTGCCCACTGCATTCAGCCTCACCACATGGAAGCAGTATGTGCACACATTTCTCTCTCTCTCTCTCCTCTCTCTCCTCTCTCTCTCTCTCTCTCTCTCTCTCTCTCTCTCTCTCTCTCCCCCTCCCCCACATACACACACACACACACACACACAAAAACACACTACCTTTTAGTGGTGGTACTGGGGGTCAAATTCAGGACCTTGAGCACTTTGGGCCAGCCCATGATCACTGAGCTGTCACACCACCTCTTGCCTCTGAACAACTCCACTCCTTTTTTTTTTTGTCTTTTTGAGACAAGGTCTCCCTATAGCCCCAGCTGTCCTAGAACTCACTATGTAGACCAGGCTGGCCTTGAACTCACAGAGATCCACCTGCCTCTGCCTCCTGAGTGCTGGGATTAAAGGTATGGGCCACCACGCCCAGCTTTTTTTTTTTTTTTTTTTTTATTACATTCTGGGGCTGAAGAGATGGGTCAGCGGTTAAGAACACTGGCTGTTCTTACAGAAGGTCCAGGTTTGAATCCCAGCACCCACATGGTAGCTAACAACTGTCTGTAACTCCAGTTCCAGGGGACCTGACAGCTTCTTCTGACCTCCGCAGGCATTGCATGACATGGGTGCACTTACCTACATGCAGGCAATACATACATACACATAAAATAAAAATAAAATAGTTTTTAAAAATTGTATGTGTGTATGTACATTATATGTGAGCACATGTGTGTCACAGCTTGTATATCAAGATCAAGGGACTACTCTTAGTAGTCAGTCCCTTCCTTTTACCATGTGGGTCCAGGGATTGAACTCAGGTCGTCAGGCCTTCACATGCTAAGCCATCTTGCTGAGTCCTCTCCACTCCTCCCTGACACTCACATTCCCTCAGCCTCCAAGGTGGCCCCTTCCCTTGCCCAAGTCCCCCATGGCCAGCGCAGTCCTAGGTACTGTTGTCTCTAGTCTGGACAAACCTGACATCTAACAGCCCCCACTTTCTTCCACCCAGTTGTGTATAACCTGACAAATGCCAAAAATAATCCTACCACAACCTGGGTAAAAACCTTCCAGAGTTCTTCAGGTTCCCACACACACAAGCAAGACAATTCACATGCAAAACTGGCACTCCCCAAACCTGCCGAGACCCACAGCCCACCCAAGCACATGCTGTGTGGCTGAGGAAGGCAGGGCAGCATTGCATGCCCCACGCATCCCCCATACACAGCGGAGGGTCACAGGGAAAGTCAGGGTGCACAGACACGTGTTTGCATAAAAATCAGAGATTGTTACTTGCCCTGTATGACCTCCCTCTGAGAGCACCAGCCTAAAGTGCTCAGGGACAGCTTTTCTCCAAATACTTCTAGGCTTGTTCTGAATTCTGGGCCAGGCACAACATTATCTTTTGAAGTATAAATTAAATTCGCATATACAAACGACTCCAGCAGCTTTACAACACAAGGAAACCTCTGGCCACCTCCCTCCTCAGGGCAACTCTTGGCAGGCCAACTCCTCCTCACCTGTCAGGTCTGGCTGACTGCTCCTAAAGCCACCTCCCACTCAACACACTCTCTTCACCTGGTTTGCTCCTGGTGGGGAGGAAGGGGAGGATGGGGAAGATGGAGCAGGGGCTTCATCTGGAACGGCCAGGTGGTGACACCCTCCACTTAAGTGTGCTAACTGGACGGGTGGGCACTCCCAATTTGCCCTGCCATGATTCTGGCTCCCTGGTCAGGGCTGGATGGACAAAGGCAGCCCACCTAACTTGGGCCAGGCTGCTGACCAGCACTGTTGCCCCAGAGACTCCATATGCAACCAGTTGGAGCGCCACGCTATGGGAAGGGACAGGGTCTGTGTGGCTCATTACTTGCTCATTTTTAACCCTAAAAAGCCACTGGTTTTAGGTGCCATCAGAACCATCCCAGTCTGTATATGGAGCCATCATGCCCCTGCCACCAGCCACACCCAGCACCCAGGGCTCCAAGCTCAGTCCTGAGGGTCAAGGGGAGGGAGGCGACCTGCCTGGGGCCCTGACTAAGTCTAGCTGGAGCTCATTTCCTGTTGGAAACTCTGAGTTGCCACAGGCGGCTGTGGCTGGAAAGGGAAGACTGAGTCACCTCCATCAGCAACGGGGGTGCCCCCCTCTCTGCCCACTACAGCCACACCCAGAACCCCCTCCCAGCCCTGCTGCAGACTGCCCGCCCTGCTGGCCCAGCCTGGACACAGACAAGGAAGAGAAGGAGGGGAGGACTCCCTCCCACTCACCACACCCAACCCAGAAAGAGAGGGCTGAGACTCAACCACAGTTACAGGGAAGACAGAAACGCCACCGGCTTGCCTTAGGCCATGGAGAAAGCTCAGAAGCCACTCTCTGCCCTCAAACTCCCTGGTCCTACCAGGTATTCTTTACCCCACCACTCCACAAAGCCCTAGGATTCCAACCCAGAAAAGCCAGAACTGAGGTTCCTACCCAGGCAGCTGTGCCCAGTGTAGGGCCTGCCCCTCGCTCTAGAGCACCTTCTCCATCTTCTAGAAAACAAGCTCCTCCCCACACACTAAGCCATACAGAGGTAGGAGCCAAGCCAGTCTAGTGCCTGCATGCATTACATGGATAATGCTGAGGTCCTGAGTGCCTGAGTGGGCATGAAGAACAGTGTACCCCAGGAGAGCCTGCACAAGCCTCATGCTGGTACAGGGACTCAAGGACAGAGGGGGGTGATTTCTGGGAGCCCCTGGTCTGATGGGTCTTGTTTTATCCTCTAAGACCTGGATCCCAAAGGGAACGAACTCACCTACACCATAGGCTGGCACAGCTCTCCCATGCCCTGGCCTCTGCCCTGATAAAGGATGTTCCTGTCTAGCTTCTGTCCTTCTCTCTATCCCACCTAGAGCCATTCAACCCCTAGGTCATGGCTAGCTCCAAGCAGGCCAAGCACCTAGACATGGTGGGGAGGGGGCTGGGACAGTATCCATGAATGCAGATTCTGAGCCACAGGGGAAGGTAGATTCAAACCTCAGTGGTCAAGTGGTTTGCCTAGGCCACACTGCCAGTGCCATGCCAGGAGCTCTTCTACACATGCCCACTTCTGCCTAGAGGGGCCTCCATGAGAGGCCACTAGTGTGGGTAGAGGAGTAGGTAGGGGAGAAGGCAAGGGCAGTCCTGGAGAGAGGGACCCAAGCAGACTATGCCAACAGCTGGCCCTGCCATTCCACGGCCCACAGGCCCCGCCCCCACCAGGATATGCCTAGAGGAGGATGAGCCACGTGGGTCCATTGGCTGGAGCACCCAGCACCCTCAGGCAGAAAGGGCGCCACCTGCTGGTATGAACAGAGCCCCCTCCCCCTTGTGCTGCCCACCTTAGCCCACCAGACTCAAGCCTGGGCATAAGAACACCCACAGTCCCTTCCCACCCCTCGCAGCCTGGAGCAGGAATGCAGCTGACCTGTGGCTGGGGCAGGCTCCGGGCCCGACCTGGCCAGGGTCCCCACAGTGGTGACAGACACCACTGGGGTCTCAGATGCCCCCTGCTCAGGCTCCTTCCGGCGATAGACCTGACGCTCCTCTCGGGCAGGGTCCTCGGCCAGCAGAGGCCCCCGCTTTGGTGGGCAGCCCAGAGGACCTTGCATGGCCTGCACATGGGGGGAGCGACGACGTGCAGGCATCACCATGGCGACAGGTCGTCGCACACGCTGCAAAGAGGCAGGCACGATCTCCGGTGGCAGGTGCAGATACTGGCGTAGGTGGGCAATACCCTCGTTGGTCAGGTACCAGTAGAAGTGGCGCCAGGCAAAGGTCTCCCGCACCAGGCCCCGGGCTCGCAGAGAGGCCATGGCACGTATGACCTGTAAGTTGGTGACGCCAGGCACGTGGGGATGCAGGCTGCGGGGTCTCCGGTCCTTCTTGGCCACCATCACTCCCTCACGAAAGAGCACCTCATAGATGGCCCGTAGCTGGTCCAGTGGCATAAGCATGCCAGCCACCATGGCTGCTGGGAGCTAGCCGGTCCGCACAGGGTGAGGGCAGTAGGTGGGGCACAGCCAGGAGGCTGATAGGGCTCCTTTGGCACGGAGTGCGACAGGGGCCACTGGCAAGCAGGCAAGCAGGCTCCGACTCTTAAGCACTAGGGCACAGGCTCAGGGACAGTGTGGCTCCAGGCGCCTGGCTCTGTGAATTCCTGCCGGCACTGCTGCCTGCCTGAGCCTCCCGCCTGCCCGCCCTACAGGGCGCCTGGGCCGGCCCCCTCTGACTCAGCAGCAAGGCCGGCCCCTCCCACCCACAGCCAGCAGGGCCCCTTGCAGAGTGGGGGGCACGGTCAGGCAGCGGCCACCACTAGGCTGCCCCCTCCCCTCCCAGGCCACACAGCTCCAATCTCAGAAATGACATCAGTTTCTGAAACACTCTTCAAGGTTCCTGACTCTAGAGGGCAGGGTAGGGTGTAATATGGATCCAGGATTCCCCCTCAAAAGGTGACAGAATGAGCAGAAAAAGGGGAACAGAGAGGGCAGGAGGGGTCTTCAAGCCAGGGAGCCCAAATGGGGTCTCGGGGAGTCATGTGTTCACAGTTATCTGAAAAGAGGGGTGCTGGGTTGCCTGGAATTGGGGAACCGGAGGAGTCCAAGGGAAGCGGATTCAGGCCTAGAGAGGAAGTCGGCATCTTGGGGGACAGAGACCTGAGGGGACAGCAGGGCAGTGTGTCAGGACACACAGACAGATGGCTGCAGTCCCCACTGCTGTTGTCCATCAGATGCCAGACCTGGAGGCAGTGACCATAGGATTTAACACTCCCATGCCAGGCCAGATGAGAGGCCATTCAGAAACACAGCCACTCCCAGCCCAAGACCTCAGAGTAGAGCACAGGGTGGGGGCTCTGGGTGAGGCCTCTATCCACCCACACCTCCAGCACAGCTGTTAGAGGCCAGGGACTCCCAGCTGTCACAGGAAATCAAAGTCACCAAGTCCCTGCCCCCTCAGGAGTGACGGCCCTGCCACCCACAAATTCCCTACCCCCGGCGGCCTGAGTGTCCACTTGTGGCCAGAGGGGCAGGTGCTAGGGAGAGGACAAGGGAACAGCATCAGAGACCCAGGGGAAAGAAGGGAGACTGCCACGTGAGGTCCTGAGAGTTGCCCAGTACAGCTATTGATGGCCCTAGATCCTCACAACTGAGGATCCAGCCATGGCTAGTCTGTGCTGGGTGCCACCCAACACCCCAACTCTCCATGCTGTGTCCCACCAAGGTTCTCCCCAGGCAGACACACCCATTCCCACCAAGCCCAGCAAACCCAGGAACTGATTATAAATAGGGCGGGGGTGGGGAATCCTGCAGTGGGAGGTGCTGGCCAGGCGGCAGCCAACAAAGCAGTGTGTGGGGCGGGTTTATGGGCTGTCACCATGGTACCCCAAGCAGGCTCCAAACACACACACACACACACACACACACACACACACACTACACACACACACACACACACACACACACACACACACACACACACAGGACCGTGGAAACTCTCAAAGGCTTAGCCAACAGTTCCCAAAGCCCTCCCTGTGGCGGCCAGCTCACAGCTCAGGGCTCTCCCTGTGACACGCCCTGTGCCTGGCCTGAGGCAGGAAGGGGGCCAGCCTCCTGTGCCTAGCCCTGGGAGGGCGGGGCATTACTGTCAGCAGGACCCATGGTGGGCAGCTACCACACCCCCTCAGCTCTGCAGCACCCAAAGACTGACTCTCCATACCAATGCTGTGGTCTTGGGACCACTCCCAACCCAGCACTATGCCCACACAAGTTCCCAGTCTCAGCCTCTCAGACATCCCTTCCCAATAACCTGCACTCATCCTGTGCCCACTCAACAGCCCCTCCATCTTCCTGGCTTAAGTCCCTAACCTAATTCCCTCAAATCTCCAACCCCACCCCCAACAGTCCCCAAATGAGCTCCAACCATATCCAAATTCCCCTAAGGCCCTAGAACCAAAATCTTCTGTTCAGGCCCATGTGGGTGCCTGACAAGACCCTCACAGTAAGTAGCACACCCAGCCATCATCCCCATGCCACCCCTAGGCAGGAGAGGGCAGTGGCTCCCACCCTGGTAGCAACAGGGTAGGGGATCTCTCCTTCCTCCCACCAGCCCTAGCACCTGCAGGCATGGGACTAGGGGAGGAGCCTGGAAGAGCATGTTCTCCCACATAGGCTGCCACGTGCACAGGCACACACACACACACACACATCCCTGATCTGGGTTCCAGTGTCTCCAGGGTCCCTGGGCCTCGGAGAACCCCCAATGCCCTACCCTACCACCACCACCACCACCACACAGTACCACAGAGTTGCTGACTCAGCACTGAGGGCCCAGCAGCACTTCCAGGCCAGCCCCTCTCTCCAGGCCCCTTTGGGTTTCCAGGGCAACCAGTCAGCGCCCTTGGGCAGTCCTACTCACCCCCCCCCCCCCCCCCCCCCGCCCCCCACCCCCCCCCAACGCACCACGGGCTACCACTCCAGCCTAAAGTAAAAACCCCCCCCACCACCCCCCGACTCCCCGAACCCCGGACAAAGAGCCGCAGTGTGGCTTTCTCCTGGGCCAGCCCGCCTGGCGCCTAGTGCCTTGGGCATGGAGATCCCCACAGCCCTGCACCGCCCCCTCACACCCCAGGCTACAAGGCTGGGAAGAGAGGAAGAATGCCCTAGGGCTGAGCTCCCACCCTCCGCTGGTATGCCCCTACTGCTGATGCAGCCGGCCCTGCCCCCGACATGCACTGCAGAGCTGCAGGACTGCAGGGCTGCAGAGTTGCTGCCAGAACCACCACCCCCCCAGCTCTAGGAGGTCCTCAGCATCAGGAGGTGGCTAGGAAAGGCATGAGTCTGGCTGGGGGAGGTGGAGTCCTCAGTCTCCAGCTCAGCACCCTTCAGTGTCACCAGGAAGACAGCTGAACCTGACTGGTGCTGGTGGGATGCTGTGCCCAGCCAGAGGTCATTGAGTGTATCGAGCCAGGCTCCCTCACACTGTACCTTTAAGGGAACTGATCTCATGCTGGATGGCTCTCGAGGGGTCCATATCTTCATTGGGGTATTGCTGAGGACGGTATTGCTGCAGCTACTGACCGTCCAGCCCCGCACAGTCCGGCACAGCACCGCACTGCCCAACACCAGCGCGCCCGCAGCCTGAAGGAGTGGCTGGGAGGTGTGGGGCGGGGCTTACTAGCCAGAGGCGGGGCTTTGGCTAATCAATGCTGGGGCCACTGCTGCCCCAGGCGCATGCTACCAGGCCAAACACTGCACCACCCCATCCCCTCCTACAGTCCCCTCCAATACAACATGTACGGGTATAAGAAACAAATTCCTGCCAGACAACCTGACCACCAGACCACAGCCAGACACGCTTGGTCAGTGGGCTCCATGGTCTCGGCCTTTGTCACCAAGAGCCACATATGAATGGCCTGCACAGGGCCTGTCCCTCACACTGAAACCTCAGCTATCTATGACTCCTGAGGACCTATGACCTCCAGCTTTTTCCAGAACTGGAGGGCAGGCTGCAGTATGCAGCGTCCCTGGGCCTGTTCCAGCCCAGGTCTTCTCCAGCGTGCTCCTTGGTCACCCCACCATCCTAGGCTCAAAAGGCTTCTGTGTCCCAGCAGGACCCAGCCCACCCTGGCTTCTGCCTCTCCTGCCAGACTGTTCTAGGCATGCCTCATCTAGACATGCAGCATCCTACTACCCAGCATCCTGTAGCTCAGGCCCCAAACCTTGGGGCTCATGGTGGCTCACAGCCAGCCCCACAGGGCTTGCTGACTCTGCCGGTCTATGTCCACTTCCACTATCTCCACTGCCTTCAGCATAACCTGCAGCTCCTTGCAGGGCCCAGTCCACTGCTCCTGCATCACTACCACCACCAAGAACCCAGGAGCAGCTGCTCTGGTCCAACCACCACAGCCTTTAGCACAACTGTTTGCAACTACCTGCCTCCTAGACAGGCTTCCCATGCTGCTATCAGTTCTGTCTCTGTCTGTGTGCAGCAGGAAGTCATAAGAGAACATGTCAGCTATGTCCACAATGTGAGCGTGCACCCTAGGGCCTCTGTACTGGGTAAGCAGTAAGGAACACGGATGGCCTCCGCAAGATGTGTCCAGCTTGCCTCAGTCTCCTGCCAGATCCAAGTCCACATCCTTCCCTCTGTCTTCACCCCAGACCCTTTGTTGACATATCAAGTCCACACCCTGCTAAGCTGGCCATACCTTAGGGCTGTCCACCCTTTCTGCAGGCAAGCCTACTATGGGTTAGATTGTAGTCAGAGAGACCTGGCCATACCTTAGGGTGCCCACCCTTTCTGCAGGTGAGCCTAATATGTATGCATCAGGTTGTGGTCAGGGAGACCATGAAAGTGTCACAGGAGCAAGGCTGGCAGCACCCATAGTATAACAGACTAAGAAACCAGGTGTCAACCCAGCCTGGGCCCTGGGGTCCCTCAGCCCCTATTCCTGCCCTCTTTGGGACTCAGCCAGTCCACAGCATCTGTGAGTCTCAGGAAACATCAGTTGCCAAAATTAGGGAAAATAGTAAAGTGAAGAATTGAAATATAATTTTCCAAATTAAGATTTAGAATTAAATTTCTACTTTTTACTAAGTTATGTCTAAATAAGTCTAGATTCAGCCTGCAAGTGCATTTGTGTAGGTGAACATGCATGTGGTGCATGTGCATGTGGAGTGGGTGGGTAAGCAGAGGTCATATTCAGGTGCTGTTTCTCAGGAACTGTCCACCTTGTGTTTGAGACAGTCTCTTATTGCTCTGGACTCACTAATTAGGGGGGCATCAAGCCCCAGGAATCATCTGGTCTGCTTCCTCAGCACTGGGATTACAAATATGCACCACCATGCCCCACTTTTTACATAGGTGCTGGGGACTGAACACCAGTACTAACGCTTGCATGGCAAGTCCTTTACCGACTGAACTGTTTGCATAACCACATACATAGCTCTGGTTTTTGAAACGCATTTTTGCCTTGAAGCCCGGGCTGGGTTTGACTTCTCCTTCCTCCTGCCTTACAACTGCTGGAATTGCAGCGTACACCACCAAACCCAGCCTAGTACTTATGCCTTAAATAAAACTAACAGACATTTTACAAATAGACCTAAAAACTACAGGAAAACTTACACATAAAAAAATGTTCTACGGCTGGGGAGGTGGCTCAGCGGT